TATCTGAAATGTTCTTTTTGACTAGGCAAAACTGAATTAGAGATATCTGCAACACATATCCAGTCTAGCTGTTAAATGTTAAAATGGCTTGCCATATTGGTCGGTTCACGCTAATGTAAGCACGCGTCACATTTCATTTTACAGGAAGAAAAAAAATATCGGATTTCAAAATAAAAGTTAAAAAAAAATGAATTAAAGAAATGGAATAGCCTACTGGTATTTTTTTTTACATTCATTGTGAAAGAACCTAGGGGTAAAATATGACTAGGGATGTAATCTAAAGGGTTAAAAAGGTTGGGGATTTTTAAACTTCATCTGAATTTTGACCATCTTCATAATTTGGTTGTGATTTCAACATAGACAAGCCTAGCACATAGCATACACATAAAAGTAAAAAAGTTGTTACCAAGGTTGCTTAAATGTTACTGGAGCACAGAGAGAAAAAGGGCGGGACATAGGAAGGATCAATTATCATTACTTGTTTACAATGAGAATCTGAAGCCTCTCCACACATCATGAATTGATTGATTCATATTTTACATGCAAGTCTGGTTTTGCTTGAGCGCTGACAGTTATGAGGCAAAATAAGGGGCATTTTCTTTACTCCATGACAACCATTTGTATGCATTTGATTGTTTTTATATTGCAGGTTAAGAAGAAAAAGCTTTTCTTTGGTGACATCATTATTCAAGGTAAAGCTCTTAAATCAGAAATGACGCTTCCATGTTCCTGAGAAATGTAGCCCATCCATCATTTGCTGTCCCTAATAGCTCAGAGCCCGATTTTCAAGGTCTGCATATGGAGTGAACCAAATATTGCAGTTTCCATGGTAATACCTCCTTGGAAATACCTGCAATATTTTGTCCATTTAAGTATGCAGGGATATTCTTGATATGATTACACAGTTTTATAGATGGTTTTCTCCTGGACAATTTGCTCATAGAAACACAGTGAAGAAAAACACATATAATGTTCGTGCTGGCATGAATGATGATTTTTAAGATGAATTTCAATTGAATGTGTTTTCTGTCTGGGAATGTGTTACTGCTGTAGATCCACTACAGTAGCAGGACGTTTATGTGAAATGTGTCTTTATCCCTGCAAATGTTTGATACTCAACAGACAATGAAAAGAAAGTCAAGTTTCCAAAATGACTGGAAAACTATGTACATATATTCTTTTTGAGGATAGGCTGAATGTAAGAAATATGCAGGTATATAAATATAGATGCTGGTATCTGCCCCTCTTCTTCTCCTTCTTCCTCTCTCACTTGGACAGTTTAGTGATGACCCGGATTAAAGCTCCATTCTCATCCTTCAGTCTCTGGTTCTCCGTCTTAAGCTCTGCTTTAACCTGAAGAAAAAGCATGAGACAACTTAAGTGGGCACAGATGTAAAATGGCATGTTACTGATAACCTGCAGGCTCATAGCCCTGGATGTCTTATATGATAATGGTCAGTGTAAGAAGACACTACAAGTCTACAGTTTGTATGGTCATTTTCTTTTTTTCTTTGAGCATTTTTGCCATATAATGCAGTAACTGTACAACTCATTTTGTGAATTGCACCACTTGTATTTTTGAAGTGAATTCCTATTTCGGTAGTATTTTCCATGGCGTGCACAAATGTTCTGGTTTGGATTTGTGGCGATTCCAACAACCTTTTCAGCCTCCTTGACGTCAAAATGGAGTTAAAAGATTTGGGGGGCCAGAACATTCATGACAAATATGTTACGCTACTGCTTCAAAACAATGGCTTTTGCCTACTTGCAAGACCCAGGGTGTATTATGGCGACATAACCTTTAAAAGTTCGCATTTTTTAAAAGTTTATCTTAACACAGGTACAAAAAATACAAAAAAGAGTAATCTGATCTGGATAATTTATCACAATAAACATACAAACACACAATCTTGCATTCAGTGACACACAGACACAGTTTGACCAGTCTTGCTGATTTTAAAACACATGACAGTGCTTCTCTGTTGTGAATGTCTATTTTCAGACCAGCATCCCATGTTTGTTTAGACCTCTCATTCACAGATAACAACAGGTTTTTGTTTGTGTCCTCTTGGGCATAACACAGCAGACATTTGTGAATGTTACACTGTAGATGAATACAGATGGCTCACTTGCTGCAGTATCAAAGTGCTCACACATTCCTCAGCCAACAGAGCATAATGGTGACAAATGATGTCAGCTAAAAACTCTGTAGACAGAGCAGCTAACACCACGGCTCCAAGTCCCACACACACTTTATACTGTTTGGCTTTGACTGTTTATTGTTTTCAACATGTCAAATAAGCTTAACGTTCTCCTGGGTAGGAGATCCTGCCTTATTGTTCACTATTTGTGTTTTTAAATGAGACTGAAAAAATGAAGTGAATATTGGGGTAAATAACAAAAGAAAATGGCTGATTTATAAAATATCTGAATTACCTTCAACTGTTCTTCCATGTCTGATATCCTCTTTTTTAGACTCCAACTCTCCTATGAAGAGATTAATTAATAATAATTATAATCAATAAATCAATATAAATAAAAACACTTTTCTTATTCATTATTAGTATAAGGGTGAGTTCATACCTTTTTTTCTGTCTCAAGCATATTGGAGCCACAATCTCCTGGTCTTCCCTTCTGTTACAATGAAAGGTTATTATGAAAATTATAATATTATAGTACAAAGCCTTGATACTGTATGATTATAGATGCTGCACTGTCATAACAGTGAGGGCATGTGTCTGATGTAAAATATCTAATATACCCACAGTTGCACACAGAATCTCTAAAAAGGTTTGCAGACCTGGAAAATGACATTAATTACATTGCAGCTTCCTTTTGTAACTGCTATCTCTCATGTCACATCTCTGTCACATTACAGTATCACCTGATATCATCATGAGAATATATGGGAGACATTTCTGTGTGTACTGACAAGAAACATCTCAGTGATTTAAATTATGACTCAGAGAAACTTTTGGGTACTTTTTCAGTTGCCTCTTCAGCAACCATTCGTTCTTTCATGGTCATGAATCTGGATTGGGCACAATAACTACCAACTACTGTATGTAGGCTGCAGTACCTGTGCTTGCTGCAGCTGGTCCTGAATCATGGTGAGTTCCTGTTTACTTGTTTCCAGCCTGGACTTGAGCCTTTGATTGGTGGCCAGTGCCTTTTCATACATCTACAAAATATGCACTTGTTAGGATGTCCAAAGCAGTGTTTGATTGTTTTCACAGCAAACAGACTAACAATTTACAGATTGGACTGCCATGACATTTTGTCCAGACATTCATGTTCCCCTCAGGATTCATTGTTATAACTTAGGTGATTCTCTGACTTTTTATGTAGTATCATCATGAGTTCACGGATTTATGTTTTAAGACCCATTATGTTCAAACCTAATGATATTCTCACAAGCCTCAACTGTAGTTTGTATTCAGCCTTATTTGTTGCCTAAAGCATGCTGACTACTAAACTAAGATAATGAACAGGTTAAACATAATACCTGCTGAATGTCTGAATATTAGCATTATCATTGTGAGCATATTAGCAGGTTAATGTTAGCATTTAGCTCAAAGTATATGCCTGACTAGAGGCACTAGTAGGTTGTTTTGATTTATAAATGAATCCTTTAGTCTGTAAAATATCAGAAAATAGTTAAAGATACAAACAAAATGATGCCTTCCAATAGACCAGCAGTCAGGAAACTCAACGATATTGAATTTTAAATGTATATAAAAAAAGGTCAAATTTGCATAATAAATTACTTAGATTTATTACTGATTAATTGACATTTATGTGACATTTTGTTGTGTACTTTAATTCTGACATTTATGTGCAGGCGGTGCAGCATCCTTTATTTGCATTGGATAATTGACAAAGACTCCCATATAGGGTGTATATACAGAATGTCCTTTTATCCACTCCAAAGCAGCTCGATGAAGACTCTGTGCTGAAAACCACTTGTGGAATAAAATGCTGACTCTTGAAGTAAGTTAGCTGTCAAGAGATCACATTTAGTTCCTTTATTACCTGAGCACCAAAAAAATACAATACTACTAACTGCATCACATGCCTTTTTATAGTCATTGTTTGCACTCTCCTCCTCTGCCTTTTTCCTTGCAGAGAGTCTGTTCTCCCTTCGTAAGAAGTAGGACTCAGCGTGGTTTGTTGATGTGTCGTTGGAGACATCAGCGGATCCAGACGAGCTCAATCTGACAACATAAAAGAGGTATTAACTACTCGAGTCAGTCAGAGTTTATTATCACTGAGTCATTAATCAATTCCTGTTTGTTTTTTCGTCATTCAGGCGATAACTGAATGTCTTCTGTATGTATGCAGTGGTGTGAATTGAATTAGAGGATTCTTACCGAGACAGTCTCTCATGCTGAAATAGAGGAGAAATGTTTTAGAACTGGCTGACCAAAATAAAATATGTATAAACAGCACCGCTGATGTAAAATCTTTGTAAGGGCATTCCTGATAATCTTACTTAAGGTTTCATCTACTCCTGATTTAAACCTTACATGGCATAAACAAGTAATTCAACCCCACCATGACCTGCCCTCCATTTCAGTAGATGCTCATTACTGTGCAAATAATGACATCACACAGCTTGACTTCATCATTTGCTTGACAGGCTGTTTGGTCATGATGTGAGATTTATGAAGTACAATTATGGAATCAAATCCACAAATGAGGTTGTATTTTGTACCATGTTGACCATTTCATCTGCTTAATATTGTAACCATGCAGTAAATATACAAACATGACATTTTATTACAATGTACAATGTCAGCAAACACATTAATTATCAGTACATCTATAAAGCTCAGTGATTCTTTGAAGTGACATTACCAGGAATTTCTTATGAAAGACTTTTTTTTTCCGTTTTCCAAGAAAAGGTTTATGGCAGTCTTACATACCAAGCCAAGTTAAAGAAGGAGAGAGGAAATGATCCCTTAAATAAACTGACAAGCAGAGATAACTAAACACATCCAAAAAAGGTAATAGCTCTGGCAGTGGCTTTCACAATTTGTTCATTATGGCCTGCTGAAGCTGGAAGGGTTATACGGCAGAGCAGAGCCTAACAACAGCTAAACAATAAAAACAAACACTCTCTGAAAATGATGAGAAAGTGTAGCATAGTATGTACTCGACAAATGTTTTATTCCTACAGCACCAGTAAGAGTAATATGAACCCCAATCAAATATGCAGATACATATATACATGGCACGTTTATTTCTATAAACTTTCCCGGTATTTATTTATTATATATATCACCAAGGATTACATTACAATCATTTGGTGCTTTAAGTGACTTATAAGTGCAGGCAACATTGATAAGAACATGAGATAGAGGCGATCAAAATTGGAAATGTATCACTCTCAAACTAACAATTTAAAGTCTATTCAGTGTTACAATGCAAGTGGGACAGCAATGTCAGTCTGTTGGTTGGTTTACTTTGGTCCAGACCTTTTTCACAGACACCATTTGGACATAAAATAGTAGGGTAAACACAGGTGTTACAAACGATACTCCATTTAGTGTAGCAGAGCCTTTCCAGTGAGGCAACATGCACAATAGCAGCACCCTGACTCGGTTTGACCTTAATGGAGTGGACCCTTAAAAAGTATCATTGGTAACGCTTGTGTTTAACTTACTATTTCATGTCAAAATGGCTGCTGTCAAAAAGGTC